GTCATGTAAGAACGGCGGCGGCGACGGCGCAACCACCCCTTTCTTTCTTCTCTCGCTACTGCCGTCGTCATCATCCCCCGAGGCTCTCGTGCCAAATGGTCTTTTTATTATAATGTTTTTCTGCAATGCCGCTGCTACACGGTCTCTTGTCGCGCAATAAAAATATCTCGGCGGATATGTGCATAGCCGACTCCTTTTCAGCCCGCGCGATTTTATTAGCGGGAGGAAAGGATAAGTCTGATTTATGTTTCTTTTATATATATTTCGTGGGGAAAGATTTGCACATTTGCTCGTTCTCATGTGAAATTAGAAAATGATCGGAATAAGGAGAGAGAAAGAGGAGATGGAAAAAGCTATAACTATATTGCCGCATTAATAAATTAAAGGCAACAGAAAAGAATTAAAATATTTATGTTGAATTCAATTCTTTCAAATTGAAGATCCATTTCAATAAAATATTAATTTTCAGTTATTAATTAATAGTTGTTGTTCTAAATTAAACTCAATTAATACAATATAAGGCCATAGTGGAAGTAAAAAATGATTCTATAAAATCAATCAATGTCAGTAACGAGAAACGTTTTATAAAATATTTTAATTAAATAAAAATCATGAAAATAAAACTTTAAGTAAAACAATTTTCAAAAATATAAACCGTTAATTTTATGTTGATTTATTACATGATTAAAAAAAACCATTTTTGAAAAAAATTTTAAATTATTTTTATTAAATTGAGTCACTAAAAAAAATCAAATTTAATCAAAGCATTATTAATTATTCTTATTAAAAACAAAACACAATTTGTGTAAATTCTCATTCATTTTAAATTTTCCCAGATTAAAAGTACCTGATGCAAAATTACTTACTGCAAGAAATTAAAAATCTCTTCAACATTTTAATTTTTTTTTCGCGAGAAAAGCGGAAACAAATAAAAGATTCTTAAGAAACCACGTGAAGCTTAAAATTGCTCCAAATTCCAATCAAATTGTCTGGTTAACAAATAAATTTCACCCTCTTTTGTGCGCCTCTTTTCCTTTTCTGCTCGTTTCAAAACCTGACAGCCAATTTGCCAACTTTCTCTCGTATCTTTTATACACACACGCAGCTTAATACGCTTTGCACCCCGCGCTCTTTAGGGGCGGATTGAGTTTCTTCGTCATTCTTGAATTCTCTCGCCACGTCACGATTTAAAGCCCCTTTCAAGATCAACACATGGCATATATGACGACGCGCCGCGGTTTCTCCTTCGCTCTCTTACCTGAGCTTCTCCCCTCTATACACGTCATGTATTTGTGCAGCAGCCAAAGAAAAGCGCTGCTTTTTCTTTTGCTTTTATTTTTCGCAACCCTTTCTTTGATCGGCGTTCCGCGCGCGTATGCACGCTCTCTCGCGAATTCAAAAACATCACACGCGACGCTTGCCGCAGCAGCAGTTTAGCCGCCGAGCGCGCATTGTTCTTGCCGGTGCTGTTATATATTAACACCTAATTATGCTCACTTTGAAGGAAAACAAACGCGGCGGCATAAGAACGGCAAAGGAGCCTCGGCGCGATTTCACGCAGAGCCGCGTTTTTAATTTACTTGAAAACAAGACCGATGTGCTTTGGCACCGCGCGCCGCACGTAATTAGCATTAAAACATCAAAAATGCTGCGCGCAGCTTAAAAAACAATACAAAAATATATTTCCTACCCTTGGCAGTGGAATTTTTTCGTCCGTACAAACGCACCACGTCTTTTGTCATGTTTTTCATTTACGAAAATTTGTCGTCGCATAAGAAAGCTGCCGTGCCTTTTCACAAGAGTCACACAGCGGGCGTTTTAATTTTGCAGCCTCGACGACTGCTTTGGTACAATATTATTCTTTCTCTTGGGTTTCCGCCTCTAATTTTTGTGTGCTCGCTCGGGCCCTGCAGCAGCTGCCTGTTTGTTGTATAAAACTGCTGCGCCCGGCAACAAAGGACAAATTATGTCGTTAAGAAAAATAAAAGGAGCAGCGCCAGAGAAAAGCATCGCGCAATTCTTCATCAATAGAATAAAAAAACAGCGGCGGCTCTCTTTCGAGTAGAGAAGCAGATTTTATTTCGTTCGGTGCAGGTGTTTTTTGTCCAAGACATATGTCAGCGAGGCGGAAAGAAGATACTGCGAGGGGCGTATTAAGACACATTAAGCAGCTCGTTACGGGGCGTAAAAGAAGCGATAAGCGACGGCGAATTATTATATTCCACAGCAGCAGCTCCTCGACAACTTCCAACGCACGCGAGACAGAAATTATACATAAGACGAAGAGCAGCTCGAATTAATAATTACACGCGCGTTATCAGAAGAAATTACTCGTCTGAACTGCGATTTAATTAATATACGCAGCGCCAAAGAGACGAAAGCTGAAGACGCAATTTGTTCTGTAATTATTAATTGAGATGATTTTGTATCAAAGAAAGCTGCGCCAACCTCGTTAATGGCTTTGAACGTGTAAAAATAAGAAGACACTGAAGATGTCAAACAGAAAAAAATTGGCGCATTTAAATTATTAATTTAAAAATTGTATATAAATAATTTACTTCATTTTGCCTTAATTTTTTTTTAAAGTTTGAAGTAAAATTGAGAAACCATCCAATTTAATTAATTATTTAAATTTTAAATTTATATAATTTTAAATTCTACCAAAATTGTGATAATCATTTCTAAAAGCAATAAATTTTATAATTTTTTAGTTAAAATTTGTTGTATTACATTTTTTTTCTCAACTCGGCTATTGGAATTTCTCATTCTTCATGTATATGAAGTAAAAAGAGAACCGATTTCCAAAGATTTGCTTCGTTCTCAGCCGGTCAAGGTGGCGGATATTTTTCTCGGTGCAGCGCAGCAGCCGCGGCCAAACAACAACAACAAAGAATCGAGAGAGCAGAAGGTGTTGAGCCTTCAATCGCCCCTTTTGTACCCTTTGGCCGAACAACAAAATCGAGCAGAAAAAGGATTTCCTTATTTTCGCGTGCAATTCAGCTGCATTCCGTCTGGAAATATAAAATATAATGCACCTTGTAAGGAAAAGGGTATCTATACCAAAAATAACAAAACCAATCGAGCTGAGCCTGCTGCATCTGCCCCTTTCTTGGCCGGCGTCTTGGCTCGTCATCCTCTCCACATACTTTGTATAAAATAAGCAGCTGCTCGAACCCTCCCGCTGCGAAAACATCAATTACAAGAAACGAGATGATTGAATAAAGCGGCGGCCCATGATTATATAAGAGAGATGATTTTGCGTTCTAATAAAGGCGCGCAGCATATCAAAAGTTGCCGTTTGTTTCTTACTCGATAATCCTCTCTGCACCACACACGTCAAAGAGGAAACATCAAACGAGATTTTAAAGTGTTTACTCTCCGCGAGGGTATAAACACGTCCTGTGCAGTTTAATATACAAAGAGCAGCACAAAGCGTTCAAACTTTTAATATTGGCGCGCCGAAACCGCCACCGAAACTTTTCTTATAATTCTCCTCAACACAAAAACGAGCTCTCTCTCTCCGCTCGTATAATTGCACAAACTCTCCGTCTGCATTTTTTTTTTCATTTTGAAGAGATGACCCAAATTAAGCAGCACGGCCATGCATCGCCAACGAATCCGTTAAAAAACGAACTATATTGTTCCGTCGCATTAATAACGCGAGGGCCCATATGTGTTTAGTTTTGTGTTTAAGCAGGTGATCTTATGGCATGGCCACCCCCTACAAGAGCCGTTTAAGGTAAATTAAAATGCAGGTGAGATATCCATATGGTGTCTTATGAGTGCGGCGCATAAGAAAAAATTAACGGCCCCTGTTTCAACGGCGGAATGACTCGGCACGCATGCAGCACCCTATTGAAAAATTATTAAAATAAAAAAAAAACTAACTCGCAGACGTCGGTATTGTGCGCATTCGTTCTTCACGCTTGTGACTTCTGATGCCTCCAGATGGTAATTAGACAGATGAGAAATTTATCAACGGCGCGCGTGGGGGCGGAATATAATGCTTGGAAAAACGTTAACGAATGCATTTCACCCGCACGTTGGCACTTCAAAGAAAAAATATTTTGAGCTTTTCATCTTTTCAGATATTCATAAAACTTCTTTTATATCATTTTATCATATATTTAAACTTTTTGAAAACCAAATTCTTTTTTTATAATTAATTATCAATTTTCAAACAAAAGATCAATTAGAGTTAAATATTGAATTGATTATTTCATTTTGAAACAAAATAATCTTTAGTAAGCATTTTAACCTAATAAATATGCAATAAATGCACCAAAAATATTATAATTAATTATTATCATTATGGGCAGATTTTATTTTTTATTTTAAGTTTTCCTTCACCATCCAAAAGTTTGTCCGATGTAGAGTTTTTTTGTTACAAAATATATATTTTTTAAAGTAAATAATAAAATAAAATAGCTATTGTGATGGGCATGTGCTGGCTGCCCAGTCTCATTTAAGTCATTCTTCGCACCGAACAAAAGCCTTTATCTGCACATTTGAAATCAATATCTTTTTTTATATTCTGCAAGCCGATAAACTACTTCTTGCAAAGCTAATGTTATTTTGCAGCTATTCACGCCCGCGCCAATCCATCTTCTTCAGGGCTTTGTGCGGTATATTTACAAAAATGGATTAATTTGACCGCGAGTAATGGTTTGAAGACGCGCATTGAAAAGTATCGAGTTCGCTCGCGGCTGTTGTTGTGGGCCGCGGGCAGCTGACCTTTGCGTCATCATCTGTCTTGGGCGCACTGAACTGTGACACCCCCGTATCTTGGTTTCCTCTATGCCGCCGACCGACAACAATTTTCAAACGTTCAACGTTTTGGGCCAAAAGAAAAAGATGTTTTTCTCCGAGGGAGGCTGCAGGTGCTTGCGGAGAAATCTCAAGAAAAACGATTCGGAAATAACAAACAACAAAACCCACCGCACCATAAGGCGAGAGGGTTGCTGATTGTTATTTGCGTGGGAAGAAGAAGAAGAACATACCTTTGGTGAAGGAAACGCTCGCTGCGGGGGAAACTGTCTGATTCACAGGGATGCTCTTTGGCAATATCTGAAACAGAAATTGAAGAACTATTATTATAGGAAGAGGAAAAAGATACATAAAAATTTAAAAGTTGGTCGAAGTTTTTAGATACAAAAGAAAAGAAAATTTTAATAAATATCTTGAATTAATTTGTTATTTTTTATGAAGGAAAGGAAAATCTAAAATTAAAATTGAGATCGAAATTAAATGTCTAATATTTGAAATACAAATTACAAACAAACTTATTTATCATACAATTTGCTGCCAATTGAAAAAGCTATTTAGCTTAAGGGGTTGAAAGACACTCTCTATCTTTTGGTCGATTTTATCTCACAGCATAATTCTTTTCTATCCAATTGAGCTCGAGATATAATTCTTGGCTTTTTTTCTGTGGTGTCGAAAGTTATGCGGGGGTGGCTAAATAATTGATGGGCTCTTTCTTTCTCTCTGCAAAGTCTCCGGCCCGCTTTCTGTTGCCAAAACAAGGGTATATATATGTGAATTAGACTGGCACCCTCCTTGCAAGGGTTGCTTGCCATTCTTTTGTCGGCGGTCATTGCATAATTTAATGCCGAATCAATTCGCAAACTTTTCTTGTCTCCCCCGCAGCGCCAAGGGAGCGGCTTCGCCTCCCCCGCGCCCTTTTCTACATTTTTTTTTCAGCCTGCAACCCCGGTCTGCAGCTTTTTTCACCCTTCATCTCTCTCGTATATACGCTGTCCTTTCTTCCTCTTGCAAGCATGCAACCCCCTTTACTTTTGCACAGCCCTTTACTTTTTTTTACACAAACGCAACATAAGATGCTGCGTGTGTTTCTTGCTCTTCCACCCTGCACTCTCTCGTCTTCCCCCATGGTGTGTGTATGCAACACACTCAGTGCACACACGCACGCACATTAATATTTCCTACTTCCATAAGAAGCTTTTTGCACAGCAGCGCGGCGCGGAGAGCGAGACTTTGGCGAAATTAGCTTCGTCAAAGATCTCTCTCCTTTCTTTCCACCCCTGCGCGTGCAGCTTTTCCACTTTCCTTACGTGCACGCGCGCGTGCATTCATATATAGCTTCTCTATATATATTCTAATTACTTTCTTTTGATTTCACCCGGCCTCTCACTGCCGCTCCCTTCCGCGTCCGCCATCGGTTTGCGAATATTTTAAACATAAAATAGCAGAACCCGCTCTATAGATATGAGATGCTCGGGATTAAAACAAAGCAATGAAAGCAACCATGTGATTTTTTAAATTTTAAAAGAAATAATAAATCAGTTAAATCGGTAATAACTGATGGATAATTTCTAGTGAATAAAAAAAAAATGAAATTACTATAATTTTTATTTTGTATTATAGAAATGCAGCCATCAATTTCCGAAAAAAAAAATTTGTTTTGATGCTCAAACTCATTTTGACTAATTGCTTCTGGAATTTATTAGTACTTTTCACAAATCTCTTTTAAGAAATGTATAAAAGAACTAAAAAGTTTTTAAAATAAGTTTTAAAAATGATAGGTAGCTTATTTATTTTGAATTTAAATTATAATTTAAGCATATTGATGACCTCAATACAGAATTGAAGGAATTAATTTTTAATTTAAACACGCTAGCACAACTGAGAAACGTCACACTATAATTTTTATTTATTTTAAAAAATTGCATTCAATTAATTTAGATACAAATAATAGAAACTGAAGTTTATGCATAAAACAAATATAACCGATAAAAATTTAATAGGTTTTATATTTTTTTTTATATATTATTGATTAAAAAAAAAAAATTGTTAAATATCTGAAAATAAATTTATTTTTATTTTAAACGTTAAGCTATTTTTGTAACTTAAATTATTAAATATTTAGAGGCGTATGTATTTATTATTAAAACATAGATATCAATCCCATTAAACTGAATGCTTTGAACTAAAACTATACATGGTTTTTTAACTTTTCTAATTCAATCTCTTTAAAATACCCATAAATTTTCCCCCTATTTAAAAAGCTCTTTTGCACAACCTTCGAATTTTTCCCTTGCTGAGCCAATCAAGCGCGATATCAATGAGCAAATGTTGATCGTGCAGAGCAAACAAGCGAAAAAATCTCTCCTCGTCCGTGATAATAAAGTGCCCGGGCCGGCGTCTCGTCCCCCGATCCGTGAACAATACGTGCGGCGTGGATTGAGAAAGGGTTGCTCACGAAAAGCAGGAGAAAAGGGTCCTGCAGCAGCACATCTTCTGCGCGCTCCTCAATTCCTCCCTTGTCCCGCGCGCATTAGCAAATATCCATAGCTCGCTCTCTCCCTGCTAATCTACGACAATGACGGCGAGAGAGAGAGAGAGAATAATTATTTATCAAGGCGGGCGGGCGGGCCGAGGCGGACCGAGGGTAATAATCACGTCGACAATGCTCAGAATAAAGAGAGCGAAGCTCGGCGTGCATCGGCCGTGATTCTGCAAAGCACCGGGGGGAGGCAATGAAATTTCATTTTCTTGTGCAAACACCGCGAGAGCTCGAAAAGTACAAAGCTGCGTGCGCAATATATACGCTTTTTGCATTCGCAAGGGAAATCGTTATTTTTTGTACGCGCCACTCGACGCCCCCGCTTCTCTCCATCATTTTTTTGCAATCCCCTTCTCTTATTCTGCCCAATAAATCACTCAGCCGCATGAAATTAGAATAACCCTTTCTTGACGGGGCAGCGCGAATTTATTTAATAAATCACGCGACGACCTTTCCAGGTGCTCCGAATTCTTCCTTGTTTGCTTAGCGGCGCGTGTGCTGTTTTTTTTTTTTACTACGGCGCGGGTTGATCTCCGCGAGTGCAGGTGATAGGTTTTGATGCCTTTTCATTTTCCCAGCACATAAATCAATCGACGTGATCTTTTTAAAATATTCCGTGCAGCGCTTTCAGATCACGCAACCTATTTTCGGTTTTTATTAAACGCTTCTTATAAAAAGAAGGAAATTCTCCAAGGTGCGACTTGTTGCTCTCCTTTGTAAACAAACACGCCGGGCGGAAGATATTGTGAATAAGAAGACACTTGTTGTCAGCTGCTTTTTTATGCCCAAGGAGGCAGGCGGGTTTTTTTTTATATTCGCTCTCTCTGGCTGCTCTTTTCACGCTCCATCTTTTCTCCTCGGGGAATTTTCACGCTCGGAATTTTCCGTCGCCGCTTTTCTTGGCTCGTTTGCGGAATCGCTGCTCAGACTTAATCGCCGCCGGGGATTTTATTATTTTTCAAGAGGGTGCGTGCGTTCGACAGTCTTAATGTACAAAAGGGGGAGCTAAGGAGAAACCTGTTGAATGCGAGCGCGGGCGAGACGTCTTACATCGGAACATAGGAAGGAAGTTTTATTAGCCGGGGATGTCTTACAAAGGCAGATGCACCCTTCCCTTAACAGGCTTCGTTGAATAATTTCACACTCTAAGCGCCGTCAAAAGTCAAAATAGGGCAATAAAAAATAAATGTTTTTAAGAAAATTCAAAACTAATTTCTGTATTTTTGACTTCATAAAAAATCGATCTATTTCTTCCGACACAATAAATATACAAATCCACTCAATTAAGTAATTCCGGCCCATCAAGCCCGACTCGAATGAATCGGCTGCGGCAACAAAAAGTGGCGCGCGATCAATCTTTGCGGGCGGACAAAGGGGCCAAAAAGGTGACACACATTTTCACGTAGCGCGCATTCTAAACACGCGAGCAGCCTGTGTGCTTTGTGTTCGCCGGTATTTTTGTGTGTTTGTATGCCTACCTGTTGTGTACCTACCTTGTGTTGTACGTATTTATATATTCTTTCTTTCTCTCTCTCTCGGGTGACGTCACTTTTGTGTGTAGGTTTTGGCTTTTTTTATTCTTATACATCGCGCGGGCGAAGTGACAAACGCGGAGGGCCCATTCATAAGAGGAAGGTGCTGCATTGTGGGTGCTACTTGTGTTACATAACGCGAGAGAGCATGTGCGGCTCTCCAAGTGTATGTAACACGCGCCCTCCAGATCGCTATCTCCGCACCTTAAAGCGTTTCCGGTGCCGAAGAATAAGAAACGCCGGCACCTGTTCCCACAACAACAATAATTTATTTTGATTTTCGTTCTGATTTAATATTCGTCTGTGATTGGAAAAAGCGGCGTTTTATTCTAGATTCATATATAATTTTATGGCGAGGTCGGGTGTAGAAATCGAGCACAGCCGCTTGTTTATCTTGTAAGGAAAACGAGCGCCGCTCTCTGCAGCACAAAAAGGATGAGAGAGCAAAGGTGCGGGTGGAGGTGCGCGCAGGTGAAGGGCCGAAGATGCAGTCTGCGGGTAGGAATTATATATCTGAGCACACATGCACGCGGCCTATTATTTTATTTCTGGCAAGATTGGCGTTCGCCAAGATCAGCTTGCTTGCTCGCAGCTGACGCCAGCTGTCTTTCAAACCCTCACCCAAAAGGATATAACCCGCCGCGACGATCACAGAGGCTCGTGCTCGGGGAAAAAAATACGATAAATAATGAGAGAGGCGCATCAACAAAACAGGCGGGGTTATTCACCTGAAGATAAGCATTCGAAAGTGAAAATTTCATATATAAATATTAAATGCCGCTTAATAATTTGTTAATTTGCAAATAATAATGTTTTAATTTGTAATAAAAGTTCACTGTTCTATTTTAAGCAAAGATTAATAAATGAATTACAGCAATTATAATATTTATTATTAAACAATAAAAAAGCTATCATTATTAATTCTTTGTAACTGCAAATTTTATTTATTCCTATTTCAATATCCAAATAGCTGTGCCATTTTATTAATTATTTTTATAAAAAAAAAAATTAAAATTGTCAACGTTATCAAATTTTAATTTGTATCATTTTAAATATGAATAATTCTACTCTGATGAGGTATTTTCAATAAACTATTATTATTAAAAAATTAAATTTGATGACTATTTTATAATTTACTAATTACAAAAATTACTAATTTGTGTAACAAATAAAATTAAAATTGAAGTATTAATAACTAAAAGTCTTATAATACAATTTAAAATGGAATT